CTAAAGTATTTGAACAATTATAGAGTTAGAATAATTTTGCATACATATTGAACATGTAAATAGTCTCTACGCACATATTCCGCCATTACTGAACAACTCCGCCAGTTACCGACCCGATAGACGTGTGTTTACGGTGCCAATGGAAGATTGTATTGGTGGATTGGTCGTTTATTGTCGGGGTTAACTGTGAACTGGATCAGGTTTTGAAGCTATCTTTCATTTTATCTTCTGTTTTCTTTCTCTCTCTCTCTCTCTCTCTCTCTCTCTCTCTCTCTCTCTTTTATTAATATATCTTTTATTATTCCCTTGTAAAGAGGAGGAGGGAAGGGAAAGGGAGGGAGGGAAGGAAAGGAGAGAGAAGGCGAAGGGAGGGAGAGTGGAAAGGAAGATGAAGGGTAAATTAGTGGAAGGGGAAGAGAGAAGAAGAGGAAGGGAAGGGAGGTAAAGGGAAGGGAAGGGAGGTATAGGGAAGGGAAGAGAGAGAGAGAGAGAGAGAGAGAGAGAGAGAGAGAGAGGAAACTAAAAAATAAAATATTGTGGAAGGTGAACAAACCAGTATAAAAGATAAAAGAATCATATGTATCGATTAATATCCGCTCTGCATGTTTCACGCCTTTGCTCTAGCTCTTGATACGAGCCCTTAAACTACTGGGAAACACCTGAAAATGCTGGGAAAAACTGGGAAATGCGCGGAAATACCTGGAGGAGACCTGAAAATGCTGGAAAATGCTGTGAAATGCGCGGAATTACCTGGAGAAGAGCTGAAAATGCTGGAAAATACCAGGAGATATAAAATGCTCGAAAATAACAAAAACTATCATAAGGGCTTGAGTATTTTTTAAGGGGAGGAGGGCGAGCATGTATGGGAGAGGGGGAGGAGGAAACATAGGGAAACGGGGATGAGAAACACAAGGGGGTTATAGGGGAAACACAAGGGGAAACAGAGGAGGGGAACATAGAGGGAGGGAAACACAAGGGGAGGGGAAACACAGGGAAAGCACAAGGGGGATAACAGGGAAGGGGGAATACAGGGGGAGGGGAAACACAAGGGGGGGAGGGCAAAAATAAAAGAGTGTGAACAGGAAACCAATAATTGCAGTAGAGGAAAGAGAAGCGGACATTTAAATTATTTGGGGGGAATTATGAATGCAGGGGCAAGGGAGGGGAAGGAGGGAGGGAAGGAAGGAAGGAAGGAAGGAAGGAAGGAAGGAAGGAAGGAAGAAGAGAAAGGATGGAGGCAGGGAAACATTTGAATTATTTTAGGGAAATTTGGAATGTAAGCGAAGAAGATAGGGTAAAGAAGGAAGAAGAAGAAGAAGGAAGAGCAACAGAGGAAGGAAAAGAGAAGGAAGGCAGAATGGAGGAAGAGAAAGTAAAAGGAGAGAAAATTGGAAGGGAAGAGAGAAAGGAGGAGAGAATAGGAGGGGATATTGAATTGGCAACGAGAAACAGTGATAAAATAAACACTGGCTTCTCCTACTAGCAATCGTCTATTTATTCTATATAACTGTTTCTATTAGTATGTTTATGCTAGTCTCTAAATATATGACTATTACTACTATTTGAGTTTGTTTGTGTGTCTGAGTAGGTGTGTGAGTCATATGTGCTGATAGTCAGGTGTGTTTGTGTGTGTCCATTTGTGTTGATAGTCTGGTGTGTGTGTCCATATGTGCTGATAGTCAGGTGTGTGTGTGTCCATATGTGTTAATAGTCCGGTGTGTGTAGCCATATGTGTTGACAGTCAGGTATGTGAGCCATATATATGGTTACCAGATGTATAAAGAGCAATACCACTATTAAATGTGTTTATATACCTGGATTTATATATCTTATTTCACCTTTACCTAAATTTACATACCTGAACATGTGTCTATACAGGTAAATTTATATATACATTACTAATTACAGGTGTTGGTCCCCAGGTGTGTGAGTGAGGATGACGCAGACCCTGTGAGTGTGTGTGTGTGTGTGTGTGGTCACTATCACTACCACAATGTCGTCACCATTCTCCCACACCTTCACCATCCTCCTGCTGATCGTCTTTGGTAAGTAGTAACTCAATTTGTCCATATATAACATTGTAAGTAATTAGTTAAGTGATTATGTAAGTTAGTATTTAATTTAAGTAGATAATTAAGTATAAGTTGCTAGGTTTAGTTGTGAGTTGGGTTATATAAGTTCACTCGTCTCTTGGGAAATGTCAGTCTGGTTGTCATGGTTACAGTGTTTGTAAACAAATTTGATAGTGTAACATAAATACACACTGTTTACACTAACCAGCACATGTCCTGTATACTAACAATTACATACGTTTGGTATATTAACAAGAACATGCTGGTTAAACTAACAAGCATAGATATGTGTCAACCTAACAAAAACACACGAAGCATATTATTAAACAAACCTGTGCACACACACACACACACACACACACACACACACACACACACACACACACACACACCTGGCAAACTATCAAATGAACACAACTAATACACCAACAAACACACACACACACACCTGCCAAACTAACACACACACACCTGCCAAACCAACACACACATACACACACCTGTCACGGCACACCTGTTGAGAGGGAGACAGTCATCACTCAAACTAGCAACCAACAAAGGCTTTTCAACACCAGTTAACACCTGTTCTGACGTCACCACATATTAATTATTCACGTTACCTACATAATACCACATATCACTAGTGTGTGTGTGTGTGTGTGTGTGTTAAACATGACCATAGGTGTTAAACATGACCATAGGTGTTAAACATGACCATAGGTGTTAAACATGACCATAGGTGTTAAATATGACCATAAGTGTTAAACATGACCATAGGTGTTGAAACATGACCATAGGTGTTAAACTATGACCATAGGTGTTAAAACATGACCATAGGTGTTAAACATGACCATAGATGTTAAAATTACAACCATAGGTGTTAAACATGACCATAGGTGTTAAACATGACCATAGGTGTTAAACATGACCATAGGTGTTAAACATGACCATAGGTGTTAAAACATGACCATAGGTGTTAAACATGACCATAGATGTTAAACATGACCATAGGTGTTAAACATGACCATAGGTGTTAAACATGACCATAGGTGTTAAATATGACCATAGGTGTAAATATGACCATAAGTGTAAACATGACCATAGGTGTTAAACATGACCATAGGTGTTAAACATGACCATAGGTGTTAAACATGACCATAGGTGTTAAACATGACCATAGATGTTAAACATGACCATAGGTGTTAAACATGACCATAGGTAAGAAACATGACCATAGATGTTAAACATTACCATAGGTGTTAAACATGACCATAGGTGTTAAACATGACCATAGGTGTTAAACATGACCATAGGTGTTAAATATGACCATAGGTGTTAAATATACCATAAGTGTTAAACATGACCATAGGTGTTAAATGACTATAGGTGTTAAACATGACCATAGGTGTTAAACATGACCATAGGTGTTAAACATGACCATAGGTGTTAAACATGACCATAGGTGTTAAACATGACCATAGGTGTTAAACATGACCATAGGTGTTAAACATGACCATAGGTATTTAAGCATGACCATAGGTGTTAAGAAACATGACCATAGGTGTTAAACATGACCATAGGTGTTAAACATGACCATAGGTGTTAAACATGACCATAGATGTTAAACATGACCATAGGTGTTAAACATGACCATCGGTGTTAAACATGACCATAGGTGTTAAACATGACCATAGGTGTTAAACATGACCATAGGTGTTAAACATGACTTTTGAACTGAGTGATGTTAATATCCAGTGTATATACCTTTTATGTATAAATATTGAGTCATATACACAGGTATACGTTAATACACATAACACGGACGTCAAGCGGATATATTTGCAAGTCAAAAAGCAAACGTCAGGTCTGTAAAACACCGCCAACACATGTGGAATATCTGGTGTGTGTGTGTGTGTGTGTGTGTGTGTGTGTGTGTGTGTGTGTGTGTGTGTGTGTGTGTGTGTGTGTGTGTGTGTGCCATATTCTCTCTGTGCTTTCAGTATTGGGTTATACAGGATTACAGTAACGTATAAATTTTAAATATATAGTTTAGTTATATCCTGAAATATGAAGTCGCTTATTACTAAATATTTTCCACAGTATTACAAGTTCAGTGTGTGTGTGTGTGTGTTTATGTACGTATGTCTATGTATATGAGTATGTATGTATGTATGTATGTATGTATGTATTTTTATAATTTCTACTTACCTTACTATAATAAAAACATCTTCACTACACTTAACACCTATACATAAATACTCATATATACATAAGACTGAGGTCAATTATGTATACAAATAAATCCAATATTATGATTTTTTTTTGTAAGTAATAATAAAGTTTCCTTACATTAATATTACACTTTGCTTAGTTTTCATACGAGTTCATTTGTCGTTTTAATTATGTTCGTAGAAGTTTGGGTGAATGAACTTGGAGGAGAGACAAAAAATATTACACGGAAAATTTGAATATGAATATATAAGCTGAGTGTCTGTCTGTAGTGTGGAGGAAGGAGGAGGAGGAGGAGGAGGAGGAGGAGGAGGAGGAAGAGGAGGAGGAAGGAGGAGGAGGAGGAGGAAGAGGAGGAGGAGGAGGAGGAGGAAGAGGAGGAGGAGGAGGAAGAGGAGGAGGAGGAGGAGGAGGAAGCCACAATTTTCTTGTATGTATGTATGTATGTATATGTATGTATGTATGTATGTATGTATGTATGTATCATCACCATCATCATCATCATCATCATCATCATCATCATCATCATCATCATCATCATCATCATCATCATCATCATCATCATCATCATCGCCCAAAACTGCAGAGGTAATACCATGGACACACAGTGAGTCTTGCGGCTATAACTCAGGTGCTGTGTGTGTGTGTGTGTGCGTGTGTGTGTGTGTGTGTTTGTGTGTGTGTGTGTGTGCCGTGATAATGCAACTCGGTACACACAAGGATTTAGTCTGGCCTCCATTGCACTCACATCCACTCCCCCCACCTATTCTCAGCTGGGTCGACTAGGTGGGGAGAGTGGGAGAGGAAGGAGGAGGAGGGAGGGTAGGGGGGTCTAAGTGCTGTCATCACCTGAACAGCTACCAACTCATGGGCACGTACGGCTGACAGCTTACACGTGTTGATGTTGTGTTATCCTGACAGCGATGCCTAAGTTTCAAGGTCTGATCCTCTTACGATGAACCAGGAAGTTGAGGGATTAGAAAAACCTGAGACCTTCCTACACATGGACATAAGGACACAGTGGGTGATACACTGTCCTGCTGTCACCCATCTCAACACCACAATGGCTAGGAGACAAGAGGCGTTCATCGATAAACACTTGTTGTGATTGTGTAACAGTCCAATGGTACAGGGAGAACTGAAGAGGAAGTACAGTATATGATAGTGGGTCACAGGGACAGTAGGCCATCCTGATGTGGTCTTTACCTGAGGAACATTCACTCGTGTTAGTCCACAGTTCCAGAATGTTTGGTACTCTACAGGTGTTCCGGATGCGCTAATATCTCCAGTTAGATTACATGATCTGGTAACTCATTCGTGTACAGAACTGTCACAATGTCAAAATAACGAGTAATTTTAAGTTTTATTCGAGTAGATATTTTTTAATTATGTTAGTAATGTGTTCCGAGTACTGTTAGGCTATTGTACCAACATATGACAGACAACTGAATATTTTCTCAATATTTCGTCAGTGTTTCAAATAAACCAAAGACAAGGAAACAGGTGACGATAACTGCAACTGTACCTGTGTGGATACTGTGCTTACTGAACCTAATGACAAACACAGCTAAATAACCAAAACCCAACCAAAACCCAACCAAACCCAACCAAACCCAACCAAACCCAACCAAAACCCAACCAAACCCAACCAAACCCAACCAAACCCAACCAAACCCAACCAAACCCAACCAAACCCAACCAAACCCAACCAAACCCAACTTCCAATGTTACTTTTAACCTCATAACAAAACCCAGCTTACCTAAACTACTCGAATTTAATCTTGTTTCATCACTAAGTACAAGAACAACTATAGTGAATCCGATCCCCTTAATTACGTTACCTGGCAGAGAACACCTGAGTAAAGAGGATCACAGGTAGTTACTCATATTAACATAAACAATGGAATCTAATCCTATGTCCTACTTTAATGCTGTTTCATAAGATAGATAGATAGATAGATAGATAGATAGATAGATAGATAGATAGATAGATAGACAGACAGACAGACAGACAGACAGACAGACAGACAGACAGACAGACAGACAGACAGATCTCCAGAATGCTTTTAACATTTGGCTGAAAACACAAGTATTAAAGTGGTCATTATTTAAGAGATCATTGGTGGAGGAAAGTTACCTCACTCTCCTCACTCTCCTCACCCCTACCAGTCATTTTACCTCACTCTCCTCACTCTCCTCACTTATCTCTCACTACTAACCACTTACTAACTGTGTAGGCTTCACCAGTTATTAGTTTTGATCCTGTTATCTTGCTAGTTGCTAGTTTTGTAGGAGTTATTACTATGTAGAAATGAGTAGAAATGACTAGTTTTTATTTTTGTAGTGTGTGTGTGTGTGTGTGTGTGTGTGTGTGTGTGTGTGTGTGTGTGTGTGTGTGTGTGTGTGTGTGTGTGTGTGTGTGTGTGTGTGTGTGTGTGTGTGTATGTGTGTGTGTGTGTGTGTGTGTAAAGTGTGTGTGTGTGTGTGTGTGTGTGTGTGTGTGTGTGTGTGTATGTGTGTGTGTGTGTGTGTTTGTGTATCTTAGTCTGTATGTGTGTGTGTGTGTATCTTTTAGTCTGTGTATGTGTGTGGGGTGTGTGTGTGTGTGTGTGTGTGTGTGTGTGTGTGTATCTTAGGTCTGTGTATGTGTGTAACTGCATATATTTACCTTGCATGTGTGTAGGTGTTTTAAGTCTGTGTTTTATAAAAGCATAACTCACTCGCCTATGTCAATAAATGTGGTT